TACCTTTTTAAATGAATCTCCTCAGTTACATTCTTTAGGCCTGTAGTTTCCTAACTACAGTGTTTATGTTGACATCTGGCTCTTTACTCTGTTTAAATATTCTGATATGAATCCTCCTGCTTTGACTGTCTGCCTCTTTGCTGCATATAAAGAATATTTCTGTTATCATCTATTTTTATTCTACATTCAGTGTTTTATCATCTTCACAGATTTAGTTCAGTATGAAAAGGACAGAAGAGCTTCAGTTACTGTGAATAATTATGTTCATGGTCAGTTTTTATGTTTTTTAATGACATCCTTTAATATCTGTTGAAAGTGAAACATAATTTTCTGCGTTGCCGTTGGTTACAGTTTGTATTTGTTACAAACACACATCATAAAGTTTAATAAAATCAGCTGTTGTGACATCTGTGCTGCTGTTCTGCATTAGATCACCCTAACCATCTGATACATACTCCGGGTGTGTGTGTGAGTGTGTGTGTGTGTGAGTGTGTGTGTGAGCTGAAAGAAGATGACAACAGGATGAAAGATGTGATGAGATGGAAACAAATGCTAAGAGCAGGTGCATCTGCAGATGGTCACAGCAAAAGTCAGGTCACACACGCACCCCCCCCGCCCCCCCCACACACACTCTCTCTCTCTCTCTCTCTCTCTCTCTCTCTCCAGGGTCTGTAAAGCTCAATGAACCATCAGTATTTTATACGAGCAGCAGAACAAACATTGTCACTCATTGACATCCCTGATGTTTCCAAACACGTGGAGCCTGTTGCAGTGTGAAATAAAGGGGCAAGCGTGTGTGTGTGTGATACTGTCGAACTTCACAGAGCAACTTTTCCAGAAAGGATTTGACCTTTGTGGAGGTCAGAGGTCAGAGTTGCTGAATGTTTCAGAGTTCAGGTGGAAACTGGAGATTCAGCAACATTTCACCTGAACGCAGCTCTGTTGCTATGGCGATGAGTTCTGATGTGGGTAAAATTAATAACCGTGGCCATGAAAGTAATATGAAGACATTATTATTTTACATTTTGTTCTGTACTATTTGTGCTTTTATTTGCTTCCTATTTTTAAGTGATAATAACTTTAATGTTTTTTTACTTTAACTGAATTGAATTTATTTCTCTTTATAAATATTAATATTCTGAGTGTTTCCTCTCTAATTAACACGTTTCCTTGGTTCCAATTACTGATTATTTTTTCACTCTTTTCATTTTTCATTTTCTATAAGTGGTTTTTCTGTTAGGTCTGATTATTTTCTGTAGATGTTTCTCTGCTTTCTGTAAGTCTCTGTTTCAGTTTTTAACCTCTATAAATTATTCTCTTACGCAAAATATTTTATATTGATTTATTGATCATGGTTTTATCTGAAAACCTGTTTTTATGCTCTTCTTCCATGCGTACTTTGATTGAGTTAATGCAGTTTGGATATTTGAGCAGCAGCTCAGAACATTTGCAGTAAATTTTCCTATTTTCAAGTTTTATAACATAAATAAAGAAAAGTCATGAGATCGGTTTCAAAGTAACATAAAAAGCAATAATAGTTTAAAAGTTAGTGCATGTTTAGCTTGTAAAAACTGGGTCAAAATTCAGTCATAGAAGAGAGGTTAAAGGTCAACCATCTGTCCGGTTGGACTGATTTCTCGGGTCAGGAAGCGGGTCAGAACCGGCTGCTCTCCTTATCGGATAAATCTGTTTAAATCTCCGTTCATGAGCTCAGATCCAACATGGACACTTGGTTTGGTTTGTCGGTTGAAACCAGTTTGTTGTTCCAGACGAAACCAAATCGTCTCCTCAGGAAACTGAATGAAAAACAAACAAACATTATTATAATGTCATCATGATTCATGTCTCCTCCATCAGTCCTGCTGCTTCACCAAACCTCTGCAAAAAACCCCAAAACATTTCTCTCCTTTGTCTCCGTTTTCCCATCTCTAACCGTCCTTCAGCCGGACAGCAGCTGATACTGGAACTCAGACCGCTGGAGAGAAACGCCCTGATGAGGTCACTGTGGTCAGTCTGTGGTCTGTGGTCAGTGTGTGGTCAGTGTGTGGTCAGTGTGTGGTCAGTGTGTGATCAGTGTGTGGTCAGTGGGTGATCAGTGTGATCAGTGTGTGGTCAGTGTGTGGTCAGTGTGTGGTCAGTGGGTGATCAGTGTGATCAGTGTGTGGTCAGTGTGTGTTTCCCATCAGGACGGAGGTCAGTGTATTAATGAATCATCGATGCCTAATCTGTTAGTGACTTTTAATCCAGAGCCAACATGTCAGAGTTTAAATCTGAACAGAAAGAATCTTGTTTTAAGCCCGAAGTTCAGGTTTTGCTGTTCTATAAGAAATTTTAAAATGTTTTTCTTGCTTTTCAGTCGAAGAAAACATTTTCATTACAAGTCAGATCAGATATTAACCAAATGCTGCGGTAAACTCAGAGCAACCGGCTGAGGCTCTTCAGAATATTTTTCTATTTGGTTTGATAAACTGAACTTGACTTCACCGATTTATAATTAAGATCAAACAGGAAAGTCTGTAAACGAATTTAGATCTGGATTATAAAACAATAAAAGACAAAGAAAAGGATGAAGTTCAGGACTGGAAGCTTCTTCAGCTCCAACATGAAGCTTCACACCTTTTATCAACACAAACACAAATGGATTTTCTCTGTGCAGCGAGGATAAGAGGTGGTAATGTATTCTGAGAAAGCTCATTTACTGCTACAAGTTATCAGGGGAGAGGAGCAGCTCAGAGGGAGAATCAGAGTAAACAGGTAAAGGTGTGTGAGGCTGTAAAGTGGAAATGGAGTGTGTTTATAGAGCACTTTTCTGTTCTTGATTAACACACAGAGTGCTTTTACACTCACAGGCCACATCGATCCGTTCACACATATTCATAAAGACTCGGTGAAGCCTTTGAACATGCAGAGCTTCTTTCTCCGTCTGAATGAAGCCGAGGCAGAGCTGCGTTCAGGATCCTGACACGTCAGGACATTACGCTTCTCCTGGAGAGGAAAATGTAAAATTCACACCATAACGATTTGTTTCTTTTGTTTTTTCAGAACAAAAACAAAAGAGAAGTGAGACAGAAAAATCTGTGTTTGTGTCTTAGGACACAAACACAGATGTTGGATTAAAACGCTGCAGGGAGGCTGATGAGGGCGGCTCCAAATCGGCTGGGTGAGGAGAACTGCAGCAGAGTTTATGAGGTTTGTGGAATCAAGCTAACAATGTTTACTACAGCAGGTAGAGCTAACACCATTAGCAACAGCTAGCACCATTAGCAGGAGCTAACGTAAAATCAAATATTGGGAGACAACAAATCGATCTTCTTTGAGAAAATGCCTTGCTAACCTTAAACAGCTTCAGCTAGCTCTCTTTGCATCGTGTTACAAACAGCAGCCATTTTGGCCAAACCGCTCCTCTTCATCTGTTCCCTTCTCATCTTCATCTCTTCTGGTCATTTCTGCATTGCCTTCTCTTTCAAAGCTCTCCAGTTCAAACTGAAAGGACGGAGCTAGCGCTAACACCTAGCTGTCATCTACCCAGGATGCATTGCAGCATGTAGATGTTTGTGTGGCAATATTTTATTACAAACAAAAGAGCCTCCAGTATTCGTACTGTATTGTCTTCCTATATGAAGTAAAAGTTTCTCAAATAAAGTATATTATAAAAAAATAAATCATATTTCAGTAAAAAGTTAGAGTTGAGCTGCTGTGTGAACGCAGCTCACTGCTGACAGCCGGTAACCTGAGTGTGGCTCATGTTGAACATTTTCATAAATGCAAATACATTTTAAGTGCTTAACTTTTACTTTCTGTTTTACAATCACATGCATCACTGAGGCCCTGGACACAGAAATGTTAGTTTTGCTCTAATTAAGCCCTAAACATTTAGCTGTTGTGAGGCCTCCTGAGAGTCTAATGAAGACTTTATGCTTAATGACGAGTCATCTGGGAACTCAGAAACATTTAATCACTTTAACTCAGTTTGTAAGAACAGATCCAGATATAAAATCAGCATTCAAAGAATCTCTAAACGGGTTACTGCGTGTAACTCATCAGCTCAGAGGTTTTCCATGTAAAATCCAAGTAAAACATTTTGATTTAAACAGAAATTAAATTAAATTACAAAGTTCAAAGTTGGAAAAGAAAAGTTTTTTTTCCTCAGTTTAAAATCATTCAGTGTTTCATTTCTCGTCTTCTGATCCACCTTTAAATCCAAAATAATCAGAGAAACTCTGGGCTCAGCATGTTTGTCTTATTTAGATCAGATGAAGTTGAACTAAATGCACAGTTAGGTTTGGAAGATTCAGGTTAAAATCGCTGCAGACAAAACAAACTTTTATAGGATCTTATTTTCCACTCACTGCTCATGATTAACCGCATAATAAAGCACAGTTTGTCCAGACATTAGGTCCGGATCTGCCCTGAGTTAGATTAATGACATCCATTACTTCCTCCTTTACACTCATGTGTGTTTTGTCCACAAGTTACAGAGTCTCCAGAGTAAAGAGATGGAATTATTTTCAAATTAACTCCAACAGCTTCTGCAGTTGAGCTTTTAGATGGTAAAATCAGGTTTGTTTCTAACATTCAAAGTGTTTTAGTTTCAGGCCTGATAGAGCGAGCTCCAGTCCAAACCGATCCAAACCAGTCCAAACCGGTCCAAACCAGTCCAAACCAGTCCAAACTAGCCTCGGTCCAAACCGATCCAAACCGATCCAAACCGATCCAAACCGGTCCAAACCAGTCCAAACTAGCCCCGGTCCAAACCAGTCCAAACCAGTCCAAACCGATCCAAACCGATCCAAACCGGTCCAAACCAGTCCAAACCAGTCCAAACCAGTCCAAACTAGCCTCGGTCCAAACCGATCCAAACCGATCCAAACCGGTCCAAACCAGTCCAAACTAGCCCCGGTCCAAACCAGTCCAAACCAGTCCAAACCGATCCAAACCGATCCAAACCGGTCCAAACCAGTCCAAACAAGTCCAAACCAGTCAACACTATACCCGGTCCA